TTTGCTGCCTTCCATCACCTACATCATTCTCAGCAAACTGACAGAAGAGCAGAAGATCAAACACCGTATGTTCTCACTCATAGGCGGGTGTTGAACAATGAGGACACATGGACACAGGGAGGGGAGCACTACACACTGGGGTCAGTTGGGGGGAAATAGGGGAGGGAGGGTGGGGGGTGGGAAGCTGGGGAGAGATAGCAAGGGGAGAAATGCCAGATGTAGGAAAACTATATATTCTAAACAGAGAAATGAAACTAAACTTATATCTCTTTCCATGTACTAAAATCAAATAAAAACAGATTAAAGACTTAAATCTAGGACCTCATACTATAAAACTATTACAAGGAAACATTGGGGAAAATCTTCAGGACGTTGGTTTCAGCAAGAACTTCTTGAGTAATATTTCACAAGTACAGACAAACAAAGCAAAAATGGTCAAATAGGATCACATCAAGTGAAAAAGCTTCTGCAGAGCAAAGGAAACAATCAACAAAGTGAAGAGAACCCACAGAATAGAAGAAAATATCTGCAAAATACCCCTGTAACAAAGGATTAATAATCAGACTATATGAAAAGGTCAAGCAATTCTTTAAAAAAAAAAAAAAAAAAGGGCCAGGTGTGGTGGCTTATGCCTGTAATCCCAGCACTTTGGGAGGCCAAGGCAGGAGGATCACAAGGTCAAGAGATGGAGACCATTCTGGCCAACATAGTGAAAGCCCATGTCTACTAAAATAAAAAATTTATCCAGGTATGGTGGCGTGTGCCTGTAGTCACAGCTACTCCAGAGGCTGAGTCAGGAGAGTCGCTTGAACCCAGGAGGCAGAGGTTATAGTTAGCCGACATCACGCCACTGCACTCCAGCCTGGTGACAGAGTGAGACTCTGTCTCCAAAAAAAAAAAAAAAAACACAAGTGGCAAATAGCCATATGAACAGGTGCCCAACATCACTGATATCAGAGATGCAAATCAGAACTACAATGTGATATCATCTCACCCCATTTAAAATAATTTATATCCAAAAGACAATTGTTAAGTAATGCTGGCGAGGATGTAAAGAAAAGGGAATTCTTGTACACTGTTCATGGGAATGTAAGCTAGCACAATTATGAAGAACAGTTCTGAGTTTTTCACAAAACTAATACAGAGCTACCATATAATCCAGCAATTGCACTTATGGGTATATCCCCAATAGAAAGAAAATCAATATATTAAAGAGATATCTTCATGTTTTTGGCAGCACTGTTCACAATAGCCAAAATTTGGACTCAACTTTAGTGTTGCTCCTATATTCAGGATTTCACAGTGGCAGCCATTGTGGTGTGGCACAGTTGGGGTTGGATGTTAAACCCTTGTAAGATGGGAATCTCTGGTTGTGCTCCACCACACACTATCCCACACTAAACCCTCTGGGCTTCACACTGGCTAGAGTTCTGCCTCCACCACCTCTCCAAGCAGCTCTTCCTGACAACTCAAGTGTCTGTGAGGCTCATGAGTTTTCCTGCTGCCAGGATTCCAAAGGTTCGTGGTGAGAGTGGGTTACTTCTTATCTGCTCAACTTACCCCTTCCCCAGAAGTCATTGGGGGCCAGAAATGAGTCCCAGTGTGTGGTGTCCCATGTTGAGTTTCCAGCTTTCTCGAACTTCAGCTCAGTATTTTTGTCTTCCCTTTGCCCACTATCAATGTCTTCCCTCCACAGATCTGCTTGGAGCGTGCCAGTCTTTCCAATGTCCGGGTGCCTCAGTGGCATATATTCCTGTTTTCTGCATCTAGTCAGCCATTTTGCCTCCCAGCCTAATTGTCAAAGATTTTGTCCCCAAAACTGGAGCAAGACATGTATGCCCACTTACACCACTGCCATTGAACATTGTACTCAGTGTTTTATCCACAGCAATTAGTCAAGATATAGAAATAAAAGGCATCCACATTTGAAAAGAGGAAGTCAAATTATTTCTCTTTGCAGACAACACAATCTTACATTTAGAAAAACCTAAATACCCCACAAAAATATATTTTAAACTATACCAATAAATTTTCAGAACTGGTAAACAAATTTAGTGATGTTGCAGAATATTAAGATGCACAAATTAGTAGTGTTTTTATATGACAATGATTTAGTCTAAAGAGAAATCAAGAAGGAAATCTTGTTTACAATACCTACAAAAAGGCCTAAGAATACACGTAAAAGTAAGAAAGTAAGGCTGAGCGCAGTGGTGGGATTACATGCCTGTAATCCCAGCACTTTGGGAGGCCAAGGTGGGTGGATCACCTGAGGTCCGGAGTTGAAGACCAGCCTGGCCAACATGGCGAAACCCTGTTTCTACTAAAAATACAAAAATTATCCCCTCTGGGGTCCCTTTCCACACTCTCTCATGGAAACCTGTCTTCCCATCCTAAACTCCATCTCTCTGCCCTCTTCCACCCAGTGTGGAAGCTGTCTTTCCTCTCCTGGATTCCATTTTTCTGGATTCTCTCGCTCAGTGTGAGGAGAGTTTTCCTTCTCTGGTTTTCTTCCTCTGGCCATCCTTTTCACTCAGCGTGAGAGTGGCTTTTCCTTCTCTCAGTCAGTGTGAGAGCTAGCTGTTTCTCTCTCCTTCTCCTGTTTCTCTATTTAAATAAACCACTTTCTACAAAAGAAAATGCAAAAATTAGCTGGGTATGGTGGTGGGCACCAGTAATCCCAGCTACTCAGGGGGTTGAGGCAGGGAGAATCGCCTGAACCCGGGAGGTGGAGGTTGCAGTGAGCGGAGATCATGCCATTACACTCCAGCCTGGGTGATAGAGAGAGACTCTGTCTCAAAATAAAGAAATAAAAAAGAAAAAAAATTAAAAGACATCCATATGGAAAATTACAAATCACTGAAGAAGAAATTGAATAGAACATAAGCAAGTGGATAGAAAACCCACACTCGTGAATTTGAAGAATTGATATTGTTAACATAACATTACTTTACAAAGCAGCCCATAAATTCAAAGCAATCCCTCTGAAGACACCAATGATTTTTTTTGTGCTATAAAGAACTACCTGAGACTGGGTAATTTATGAAGAAAATATATTTAATTGACTCACAGTTCCACAGGCTTCACAGAAAGCATGGCTGAGAGGCTTCAGGACACTTCCATTTATAGCAGAAGGGGAGAGGGGTAGCAAGCACCTTCTTCTCATGACAGCAGGAGAGAGAGATAGTGAGGTGGAAACTGCCACATACTTTTAATCAATCAGATCATGTAAGAACTCATTACTATCACAAGAAGAGCATGGGGACATTCGCCCCCATGATTCAATCACCTCCCACCAGGTTTCTCCCTCAACACTGAGAACATTTGACATGACATTTGTGTGAGGACATAAAGCGAAACCTTATAATTCTGCTCCTGGCACCTGTAAAATCTTATATTATTTTCACATTTCAAAACCAATTATGCCTTCCCAATAGTCTCCAAAGTCTTAACTTATTCTGTCATTAACTCAAAAGTCCAAGTCCAAAGTCTCAGCTGAGGCAAAGCAAATCTTTTCTTCCTGGGAGCCTGTACAATCAAAGACATGTTCATTACTTCCAAGATACAATGTTGGTACAGACATTGGGTAAATGCTCCCATTTGAAAAGGGAGAAATTGGCCAAAACAAAGGGGCTACAGGCCCTTTGGAAGTCCAGTATCCAACAGGGCAGTTATTAAATCTTAAATCTCCAAAATAATCTTTCACTTCATGTCTTATATCCAGACCACACTGATACAAGGAATGGTCTCTCATGGCCCTGAGCAGCTCCTCTGCCCCTGTGGCTGTACAGGGTACAGCCTCTGTGGCTGTTTTCATGAGCTGGCATTGAAAGCCTGCAGCTTTTTCAGGTTCATGGGGTAGTCTGTCAGTGAATCTACAATTCTGGAGTCTGGAAAATGGTGGCCCTTCTATCACAGCTTCACTAAGCAGTGCCACAGTAGGGACTCTGTATGGGGTTTCCAACCCCACATGTTCCTTCTGCAGTGCCCTAGTAGAGGGTTTCCACAAGGGCTCCACCCCTGGATCAGACTTCTGCCTGGACATCCAGGCATTTTCATCATCCTCTGAAATCTGGGTGGAGGTTCCTGTGATGGTTAATATTGAGGGCTAACTTGATTGAATTGAAGAATGCAAAGTACTGTTCCTCAGTGTGTCTGTGAGAGTATTGCTGAGGGACATTAATGTTTGAGTCGTCAGACTGAGAGAGGCTGTCCCATTCTCAATCTGGGTGGGCACTATCTAATTAGCTACCAGCACAGCTAGAATAAAGCAAGCAGAAGTTGGAAGGGCTAGACTTGCTGAGTCTTTTGGCCTTAATCTTTCTCCTTTGCTGCATGCTATCTGCCCTCAAGCAACAGACTCTAAGTTTTTCATCTTTTGGACTTGGGCTTACACCAGTGATTTGCCAGGAGCTCTTGGGCCTTCAGACACAGACTGAAGTTTGCTCTGTCAGCTTCCCTATTTTTGAGGTTTTGGGACTCAGACTGGCTTTCTTGCTCCTCAGCTTGCAGACGGCCTATTGTGGAACTTCACCTTGTGATTGTGCGAGTCAATATTCTTTAATAAACTCCTTTTTCTATATACATATATTCTATGAGTTCTGTTCTATAGAATCATGACTAATAATATGGTTCCCAAACCTCAACTCTTGCCTTCTCTGCACCTGCCGGCCCAACACCACATGGAAGCTGCGAAGGCTTGGGCCTTACACCCTCTAAGGCCATAGCCTGAGCTGTACCTTTGCCCCCTTTAGCCACAGCTGGAGCTGGAATGGCTGTAATGCAGGATGCCACATCTCATGGCTGAGCAGAGCAGCTGAGCCTAGTCCTGGCCAAATAAACCATTTTTCTATCCTAGGCCTCTGGGCCTATGATGGGAGGGGTTACCATAAAAGTATCCAACCTGCCCTGGAGACCTTTTCCTCATTGTCTTGGCTACTAATGTTCAGTTTCTCTTTACTTCTGCAAATTTCTGCATCAGGCTTGAATTTCTTCCCAGAAAGTGAGCACATGACTGGGCTGCAAGTTTTTCAAACTTTCATTGTCTGCTTTTCTACTAAATATAACATGTAATTTCTAATAATCTCCTTGTTCACACATATGAGTGTACACTTTCAGAAACAGCTTGACCACATCTTGAATGTCTTACTGGTTACAAATTTCTTCCACCGAATACCTTAAATCATCTCTCTCAAGTCCAAAGTTCCACAGATCTCTACAGCAACGGCAAAATGCTGCCAGTCTTTTTGCTAAAGCATAGCAAGAGTGACCTCTGCTCCAGTTCCCAATAACTTCCTCATCTCCATCTGAGATCACCTCAGCCTGGACTTCATTGTCCCTATCACTGTCAGCATTTCAGCCAAAACCATTCAACATGTCTCTAGGAATTTCCAAATTTTACCACATCTTCCTGTCTTCTTCTGAGCCCTCCAAATTGTTCCAACCTCTGCCCATTACCCAGTTCCAAAGTAGCTTCCCCAGTTTCAGGTATCTTTACAGCAATACGACGCTCTTGGAACCAATTTTCTACATCCATTCATTCTCACACTGCTATAACGTATTACCTGATACTGGATCATTTATGAAGAAAAGAGATTCAATTAACTCACAGTTCCACAGGCTTTCTGGGAAGCATGGCTGGGCGGCTTCAGGACACTTACAATGATAGCAGAAGCATGAAGGGCTAACAAGCAGCTTTTTCTCATGGCAGCAGGAGACAGTGGGGCAGAAGTGCCATGAGCTTTTAAAAAATCAGATCTCATGAGAACCAACTCACTATCACAAGAATGCATGGGGAAAATCTACCCCCATGATTCAATCTTCTCCCAACAGGTTCCTCCCCCAAGATTGGGAATTAAAACTTAACATGAGATTTGGGTAAAGACACAAAGCCAAAGCATATCAGGAGATTAAAAACTTTAATAAACATTTTTCAACAAACACTTATAAATGGTCAACAAGTATATAAAATGATGCTCAACATTACTAATCAAGGAACTGCAAACCTACAAGAGATAGCATCTTAAGTCAGAATGATTATCATCAAGAAAAACAAACATTGGCAATAATATGGAGAAAAGAAAAATCTTATACATTGTTTCTGGGAATGTAAATTAGCACAACCATTATGGGAAACAATATGGAAATTTGTTTAAAAACTAAAAATAAAACTACCATTTAATCCAGCAATCCCACTACTGAGTATTTATTCAAAGGAATGAAAATCAGTATATCAAATGGATACCTGCTCCCCCATGATTATTGCACTATTATTCACAATAGCAAAGATATGGAATCAGCCTAAGTGTCCAGCAATGGATGAATGGATAAAGAACATGCAATAGAATACTATTCAGCCATAAGAAATAATGAAATTTTGTCATTTACAGCAACATGGTTGGAGCTGAAGAAAATTATGCTAAATGAAATAAGCCAGGTACAGAAAGATAAATATCACATATTCTTACTCATATGTGGGTGCTAAAATAATGAATGGAGGTAGAGAGTAGAATAATAGTTACCAGAGGTGAGGAAAGGTGTGTGTTTCTCAGGGATAGATGAGAGATGTTGGTTAATGGATACAAAATACGGTTATATAGAAAGAATAAGGTCCAATGTTTGATAGTAGAATAGTGTGACTATAGACAACCATGTATCCTACATTTTACATTAGTTAGAAGAGAAGACTTAAAATGCTACTAACTCATAGAGAAATAATAAATACACGTGATGAATAACCTACATACTCTAACTTGACAATTACACATTCTATGCTTGTTACAACATATTACCTGTACCCCATAAGTATATAGAAATGTAATGTATTAATACCAAAGTCGATAATTTCAAAAACAAATTACCTTGTTTTTAAAAAGGGGCCAAGGACTTCAATAGACACCTCACCAAGGAAAGTATATACATGGCAAATAACACAAAAAAAGATGTTTTCAATCATATCTTATTAGGAAAATGCAAATTAAAACAACAGGGAGGTACCACTACATACCTACTAGAATGGCCCAAATCAGAAAATTGAACAATAACCAATGCTGGTAAAATCTATGGAGCTACAGAAACTTTACTTTAAATGACAGCTTTTCGGCATCTTACAGAACTAAGCAGTCTTATAATAGAATCCAGCAATTGTGCTTCTTGATATTTACCCTAAAATGTTGAAAATGTATGTTCACACACAAGTTTGCAAATGGATGTTTATAGCAGCTTTTTTCATAATTGTCAGAAACGTGGGTGCATGTCCATCAGTAGTTGAAGGAATGAAAAGTTGTGCATTCTGACAACAAAATGTTACTCATTGTTTAAAAAGCAATGAGCCATTGAGCTGTAAGAAAAGGCATAAAGGAAACTTGCAGGCATATTAAGTGAAAAAAGTCAATCTGAAAAGTGTACATACTGTACGATTCTATGACATTCTAGAAAAGGCAAAGCTATGGTGAAAATAAAAAGATTAATGGTTGCCAGGGGTTTGGAGACAGAAAAAGATAAATAGACATAACATAGATGATTAGATAATTTCTAGGGCAGTGAAACTGTTTTGTTTGACACTGTAATAATGGATATATGTTATTATAAATTTGTCCAAATCCACAAGATTCACGACACCAAGAGCAAATCCTAATGCATCCTAAGTGATAATCATAGGTCGATGTAGGTTTACTAATTGTAACAAATACAGTCATGCATTACTTAAAAATGGGGATATGCTCTGATGAACATGTTAGGTTATTTCATCATTGTGAGAACATCCTAGAGCTTATTTACAGTAACCTAGTGGGTATTGGCTACTAGAAACCTAAGTTATACGGTATAGCTTATTTCTCCTAGGCTACAAACCTGTACAGCATGTTATTGTACTGAGTATTGCAGGCAACTGTAACACAATGATAAGTATTTGTGTATCCAAACATATCTAAATATAAAAAAATACAATACACATATGGCATAAAATATAAGAAACAGTACATACCTGTACAGGGCACTTACCATGAATGAAGCTTGTAGGAGTAGAGTTGCCCTGCATGAGTCAGTGAGTGAGTGGAGAATAAATGTTAAGGCTTAAATTTATAAAAGATTTAAGGCTACATAAAATTTATAAAAATACTTTTCTTTATTCAATAGTAAATTAACCTTAGATTACTGTAAACTTTTTACTTTGTACAATTTTTGTTTTTTAAAAATTTTTGACTCTTTTGTAACAACACTTAGCTTAAAACACAAGCCAATTATACAGCTCTACAAAAACATTTTATTTCCTTATATCTTTATTCTATAAGCATTTTTACATTTTTAATTTTTTGTTTCTTTTTGAAAGTTTTTATTACAAACAGAAACAGAATCACACACATGAACATAGGTCTAAACAGGGTTAGGAGCATCAATATCACTCTCTTCCACCTCTGCATCTTGCATCAGTGGAAGGTCTTCAGGGGCAATGACAGGCAGGGAGCTGTCATCTCCCATGATAAACAGTGCCTTTTTCTGAAACACCTCCTGAAAGACCTGCCTGAGGCTGTTTGTTTGGTTTTTTTTTTTCCTTCAACTTATACGTTCCAGGGTACACATGCAGGATGTGCAGGTTTGTTGCACAGGTAATTAATTCCACTGAATATCATACTAAAAATAGTTAAACTGGCATATATATGTATATACGTGTGTGTGTGTGTGTTTAGAGGATGGATGGATGGATGGATAGATAGATAGATAGATAGATATGCTAGCCTTGGATAATTGATAGGAAATTTTAATTTTACTTTTCTTAATCTAACAACTCACATTCCAAGATGGGGAGAAAGATTATTTGTGCCAGTTCAGAATTTGGGCTCATTTGCCTAACATCAAGTCAGGAAGGCTTATGGTGGATACTACAGTTTGTCTATTTAGAAGCCATTGTTCAGCTCCATCCTTGCTAACAGAACCTCAGGAATTTTTTCAGCTCTTTTAGCAGAAATATGCTTTAAAGGAAACTTTATTTTTCTCCAACCCAAGAAATACAATAAAATAGATTTGAACTAAATGATGGTTATTACATTCCTCTTACCAGTAATTGGTATAGGATGTGCATATGACCTAATCAGGGCAAATGTGATCTGTGTGGGGACAGGTAGTGCTACTGGGAAGGATTTTCCTACTATAAAAAGAAATGTTTGACTAACTGCAGGTGATGAGATCTTGTAATCAGAGAGTCCAAAATACTTTATGTTCTAAGTATTACTTAACAATATTGCCCACATTCTTGTTTTTGCATTATTTAAATACTCTTAAAGTGTGTGACTTATGAGAGAAAGATTTCACACTGTTTTATAGGGAACAACCTTTTAGTTCACTTCCATGCTTGATGTTGCTAAAGCCATTTGGTGACTATGAAGGGAGTTGCTTGAATGGCAAAGAGAGGTGAACATGATAATTAAAGGAGTTTTTAATGAAGTAATTTACTTACTGAAATAACCAATGGTATAACTGAACTGCCTAAAGAGTTTTTATGTGAGCAAATAAAAATATCTTTATTGTTGAATCTGACTTTTCATTCCTTACAGGCAAGAATATCCTCACCCCAAACCACATTATTTCTAACACCATACCTCAGAATTCTGTTTGGCTATTTGACTGACAGAGAAGAGGTTAGAAGTTCAGAGAAACATGGCCCTGGAAACATTCACACTTCCGTTTTGAGAAAGTTCACATTTTAATTCAACGATTTAACTTGAGGTTAAAGAGAGAAATTACATGTGAAATAAAACCATTATATTAGAGATATCCATATTGGATAATTGGTCCATTTTTTACTTAGATTGCATAGACACTTTAAATAAAATTCATTTAGATTTGGGGATGAAAATATCCTTCCTCTCCTGATTCCAACAGTTAAAAAAATGATTATAGTTTCTAGTACATGACATACTTTTTCTTTTTTTCTTTCTTTTTTTTTTTTTTTTT